CCTTCTTATTGAATTTATGCAATATTTCTCTTAAAAATTTAAAGTACTATCTTCAACTATTACTACTATTAACTAGAAAAAATGATTAATTTTTTAAGCTAGAAGCCTGGAAATATGACCATTACAAGTACAGAACTTGCATACTTGAGAAATCTATAATTTCTTATTTTTCATAATTCTATTTCATTTTCTTGTTCTACAGCTGTAATATATTGAAAAACCTTGTGTTTATAATTTCATGGCTGTTAAAAGCTGTATTATTATTATTATTCATTGTCCAGAATTCAGTTAATTTCCATTTGTTAATCTACCACTCTAATATCTTTTGCTGGCTAATGGGAAGAAGAAATATTTTTTTTCTTTCAAGTTTGTCCTAAAGCTTATAAACCTAATTTCCATTATATGTATTGATGTCAGGACGAGGAAAGACATATCTTGAAAGTTTTACTTCTATTTGTCAAGGGTGTTAGGTTTTGATCAATATCACTTTAAGTAATTGGCATCTATGTTAAGTATCAAATAAATATAAATTCTAAATACTCTCTAATTTGTTGGAATGTTTGGTATTTTATAAAGCAGTAATTTATATGTTTCTGGCAGATGATAGCCCTATACATGGAATATAAAAGCTGTATTGAACATACAGAGTGAGTTGACATAAAAGTACTAGATGTCTTTGCTTTCTGAATACCAACTTTTCTTACAAGTAGTCTCTCTGAAAGGATCTATCTGTCTTTATTGAAACATGGGCTAGATTGGATTGCAGTTGTTCAAGCAGCCAAAGAAAAAAGTGGGAGGTGGAGGGAGGAGCAGTGAAAAAAGTCAAGGACTCAGTAGCCAAAACTCAGATGTTTAATTTGAATTTGTCCAGGCCTTTGGGTGAAGTTGCATGATGGTATCTTTTCTCCAGAACCCTTGGTTTATGCAGTATTTTGATCAGAGGTGGTCTAAGAACCGATTAGTCTCGTGAAGCCAAGCAGGGTGGCGTTTGTAAGATCAGTAGTGTGGGTTTGCTGGGGTGGTTTATTTTGCTGCTGGGGTGAAGTCAGTGAAGCAGCAGGGGATCATCTTATATGTGAATGGTTTGTGTTGTCATAAACTGCAGTTCTGCCCTCGGTTGTCAGCACCTGATCAGGACATTGCCAAGTGCTCATTCCTGCCTCAAGTGCACTCACATGGCAGTGCACTGAGTAAAGAACTGATGCAGACTGAAACTCTGGCAGGAAGAGACTAAAGAAATGGGATTATTTTGGTCATGTACCCAGTCAGGTTCATTGGGTAACCACATCAGCTCCTGTCCTGGCTCAGGAGAGGGGGATGTTGCAGAACTAGAAAGGCAGTTGCCCAGGGAAGGAGCTCACTGCCTGTGGTTGCAGTGTTGCCTCCTTACCCTGCACACACAGCTGATGTGTCCCTGCCACTGATGTGCTCACGTGGCTGCAGCCTTGAGGGCTCAGGCAAACTGGAATTGCTGTGTCCCGAATCTGCCTGTATGGTGATGGATTCCTCCATTGAATATGCTGTGGTGTACTTACTTACAAGTGAGTAAATGCTTACTTGTCCCTTGTTTTACTGGGAACCTTGATATGTAAAATTGCTTATCCCTCTCAGCTCGCAGCTGAAGGCACCAGAGCTGCCCTGTAGCACACAAAGTGCTGTGTAATGCTAAGTGCAGGGAAAATTGGGCACATGGTGTTCACAAACAAACACTTTTCCAGTCCTCTCGTGCCAAGATCTCAGCCAATTAAACAGGAATAGCAGCTCTCAGGAGCGGTGAACGTGGAGTGGTTGGTGCTGTGCAGCAGCAGGGGTGAGTCAGGGAGGCTGCCTGGCCTGGGGCCAGCAGTGTCAAAAATGAGCAGGGAATTGATTTAGTGAAGCTCTGTGGGTGAGTACCTTGCACTAAATGATTCACTGACTTAAAAAAGAATAAAAATTAAAAATACTACGAATAAAATACAACATAAAATATGTACCGACCAGGACAAATTGTCTGTGTCATGCAGATTTTGCTGCTCCCTGGCTGTTATAGGCTTGGAGCTGTGATATTCCATTTCTGTCATTACTGTGTGTGTAATCTATAACCTTCATCTAAGAAACACGACTCATTAATTAATCATTACCAAGGGCGAGACATGCAACAGCATCAAGTGTGCCAAATCCTCTCTCAAAGTTTTTAAGTGTCTGACTGCTCGTAGATACCATCTCAGTAGTCCTGGCAGATTACTCAAAAGGACCAGATCTTGCTGCATGTAGCAAATTTATGGATTTTGATATCAGTTATTCCAGTGGCACTCAAAGTAATTTGCAACCTTGCTTTCCATTTATTTAACCCTCTTTGTAGTGGTGCTCGGTGCTTTGCTGCTGTGGGTCTTAACACTGATGAAATAGCCAAAATATGAACCATCTCTCATCAAGAGATGCTGGTAAATTAAGAGGCATTCTGTCAGACTCCAGAAATGCTTAATATCAGTGACAGGCCACTCCATGGGATGTGCCTTCTCTTCTGAGAGATAGTGCACTCCATTTTTATGCTGGTTGTGTAGTATCTGCTGAAATTATTTTTAAAGAATCCAATATTATTTTTAGAGATGTCTGAAAGGAATAACTTCATTCCCTCTGGTTTGCTTCTTCTCTTGCTTGCTTTGGCTTATTTGTAAATGCTGGTAGATGTTTGCAAACACTTCTCACCTGCTCTCTTACAAGAAAGGCACATCAAGTCAAAAAAAACCAGAACTTGTTAAATGGCATTTTTAGTCAGTCTTGGTAACAAGTAGCTTATTGAAAACCCTGCGATGAAACATGAAACCTGTTTTGATTTTTTTCTTTATTAATTTAGTACAAGGATTTTAGAATGGTTTTTTGTTTGGTTTGTTGGTGGTTTTTAATTCAGTTAAAGCTAGACTGTTTCATCTCTCTTTGGACCTCGTAATGGAAAACAGACAAAAGCAAAAACTGAAAACTGGAATTTAACTCTACTGCACTTTCTTTGCAGTGTCAAAGGAGAAAGACCAATCATATGCTTTTACATCTCCTATGAGTTTGAAAAACTCTGTTCTTACTTGAGTCTTCTTTTTCAAGTCATTTTTCCATGATCTGTTGTCTCTTCCCTGCATGTTGCTCCATGGGAAGATGCTATTCCAGCAGCACGGTGGCCAAGGGATGAGTGGGATGGGGGCAGGACCTGTCCCCTCCTGGCTGAGCAGAGCCTGTGCTGTGGCTGAGCCTGAGCAGGAGCACCATGTGCTTCAGTTATTTTGGTATTCAAAGCCAAAATACTTCTCAGTTTTAGCTGTGAGTGGCCACATGTCTTTCTGTTAACCAACAGCTCCCCATGATCAGTTTTAAGAGCCTACGAAAGGTGGCCTTTCCTGAGGATTAAAGATGTTTTTGCATCAGGTGGATTTTTAGCTCTCACAAATTACTTATCCTTCTTCTTGGTAGCTTATCGGTGTCTCTATCTCTGTAACCTGATGCTGCTCTTGAGGATTTTCCTATTCCAAATTCAGCAGTTCCTGAAACTGTGGTATACAAACAGGGAAGGCATAAAGGAATTAACAATTATAAGCAAATACTGTGAATGGCACAGAATTACCAAAGCAGGAGGTGTGTATTAGAAGTGTAATTTGCACTGAGGCATAGGTTGATAGGATTGCACAAAAGAAAGTAAGAATAATAGTGAAAATAAGGAGATTATGAAAGTAAAGGCTGCATTCCAAGCCCTAATTAGTGAGGTTATCTGTATTTCAGCTTTTATATTTGTGCATTAAAAGCACTGGGTTTTTTTTCCCATTGATTCATATTCTTAGAAAATCTTATGCCAGGATTGTGGCCTTAAAGATTTTACATGATACTAATGTACAATGTGTATTGAATTCTTTGTCTTATTTCAATAATTGATGCTTTATGGAAAGCTGTTGGCTTGAAATACAATTGTGCCTATTCATTTCCAGGGAGATAAACCTCCGCAGTTAAGTAGTGCCAGTACATCAAGCTTCTTTTTTAACCAAAAATAAGTACCATTAATTTAAATTCAGTGAAAGAAATGGATAAAGCTAGCAGTGTTAAATGCTCTCAACGTTAAAAGAAAATAGCTTAAAAGTTTCTTGCATAGCAGTGAAAAGCATTAGCTTGTCTTTATAGGTTTTTGTATGTATTTATGAAACATTTGGCTCTGGTATTGGTGGTTAACTTGTCTGTTCCCACCTCCAGCCTGTGGGGATTTTGTATTTTTTTGAGTGGGTGGCTATCAACTATTTGAATATCTTTGGCAGCACAACCAATCACTTCTTCACCATTATTTCTTATTGTTCAGTTTCTGAAGGCAAGGTGTAACCTACATTTTTTTCCAAGTCATCTTACAAGTACTTTTGGCTCTACCTGGATCATTTCAGTGACCAGGTGAAAAATAAATCAGTTGCTAAGGCTGTGGACATGTTAAGTAATATTTGTTTTTCCATAAAATACTTTGGAGGATAATGAAAATGCTGAAGAAAACGTGGGAATCAACAGGTAGTAGAAAGTATTGCATACTGAGAAAGAAAAGAAAAAACTGACAGGGGAAGCAACAGGAGGTCTGGCAAGTGATGACGTCTAAGAGTAATTTAAATTCAACTTTTCATAATAAAGATAACCAGAGTTAAAAATGCCTTGATGCAAAAGTTTTGAAGAATACTGTTCAAGATCATCATGATCACAATTCCATCTTTGGGAATTGTGTAGGGAGGACATGGTCCCTTCTTATTTGCTACTTTTAGCAGCATAAAAATCAAATTGCCAATCTATCAAATCTCATTGCTTGAGTGTTTGCATTTGGGACAGGGAGGAGGAAGGATACATCTAGAAGATGATTTCTTACATCCTAATGTGGGTAGGTTGTGTGGCCCTTTTGTAGTTAAAAACTGAGAGATGAGTACCAAAACACTGTTAAATCTTTGCTTATTACTAGGATTTTACAGCTAATTTTTTTCTGAAAGCTGTACTTTTTTTCTCTCTGACAGATCCTTCTTGCTTTTCATTGCCCACTGCACTAAGAATTCCCTCTCCCCTGATGAGCTAAAGACACCACCCGTAACAACCGGGAAACAGCGTTTGAGACCTCCCCATTCGGTGAGTACTCACAACTTCGGCTTTGTGTGTTGTTTGGCTCAGAGATGTGTTTATATTGTCGACCGAAGTGGTTCCATCTATGCTTGAAAAGTGCCTAGGAAGATCTCTGCAGGAAAGTGGTTTTGTAGAGGAAAGCAATTTGTCTCAGCACTTTTCCTTTACAGAATCTACTTCAGTCTTTTCCAGCCCGACTGAATTACTTCGGAAGGTTTCACTTAGAGAAATATGCTTTTTATTCCTACCTGCCTGGATGCTCATTTGCAGGAGTTGCCCATCCTGACAAATTCAGGATCAAATGAGGATGTTAGGAATTTATTGCTCCTGGCATCAAAGGAAATTTTTCTTCGCTCAAATGGACCTTTTATTCAGATTCTGAACACAACAAAAACTATTTAGTCTGTAGGATTGGCTGCATATCATGAAGTTCTGAATCTGTGTATGCATAATATATGCTGTGCAGAGAGAAGATAAAGAAAGAGAAGAAACTTTTAGATTATCTGTTCTTTTGTGGTGTCTGTAGCTGCTGGTCAGAATGCTCACAAGACACCCTATAATTTAATTACTGTTGTACTTATGCTCTGGGGATTAATGTAATTATATACAGTACCACACTTAGCCCAATGTGTCCAGCAGTGGAAATAGGGTGTCTTGCTTAGAAGTAGCTCGAGTGAAGGAAACAAAACCTTCTGTTGATAGATTCTCATAAGAAAATAAAAAAAAAAATAAATTTAAAATTTTGAGCTTTTTCTTCTCTTGTGGATTTAAATTTTACCAAGTACAATTTTTCTGTGATACACCTGAGAATTCTTATTCAAATAATTTAATTCAGTGGCAGTATTTCTTAGGAGGCTACTCCCAGATTGTGCCTTTTGTTACATTAAACCAACTAGATTTAAAAGATGTCTTTAACATTTTGTATTATTTCACTTGGAAAAATTGTGGGGTCTAGATATGGGAAGCACCAAATTCCGAAGGAATTGTTTCACTTGCACATTGTTCTGCATTGTTTGCAGTGAGTCAGTTGGTTTTTATTCCATATTTTCTACTGGAAGGTTAATTTCTGTCTCCAGGACTGTATTTCTTCAGATTTTAGACCATTAAGATCTATGCTCCATACTTATCAAGTAAATCACTCTAAGAGTTTGAATCTTTAAATTTTCACAATTTATGTAGTGTAAGAAAATTAAAACGAGAAATACTGAAGCACTTCTGGTTAAGTAATTCTTCATACTGAGAGAGAAAATCTGGTGGGATTATGGAGTTTTTTCCATTTATTTTTACTGTTTTACAAGTCTGAGTTTCATGGCAGTTTTCTGCGAGTTCTGTATAATCAGAAATATGAGAGAGAGGATTCCTGAAAATTGTTTTGACTATTATAAATGTATCTATATATTCTCTGTATATGTTATTTGTGTATGCTCTATGTAGGTGTTCATGTGTTTGTTTTAAGGGATCTTCACAGCCCATCTTCAAATAGTTAAAGAACAGACTGACAAGTACATCTCACACAAAATTCCTGGAAGACAAACACTGGGTGATAAAAGATACTGGTCCAGAAGCTCTCACTTTTGCTCTGTATCTCAACAGCAGTTTGTCAGGGAGAGGTTGCAGAAGTAGGTCCTGGGTGAAAATTTCAAAACACCTGATAGCTCAATCTCAAATCCCCTGCTGTGGTCTTGGTTTGTTTGTTTTTGCTGCCTGTTTTTTAAAACAACCCCGAGTGATCTCCCAGGGTCAGACAGCAGGTCAGGAGCAAAGCTGAGTGTGAAACCCAGTGCATAATTCCCTGCAGTAATTAAGGTTGGGAATGTGCCCACTTAAACCTTTCCATCCGGTGGCTAGATCCTGTATATTGCTTATTTGCATTGTGCTGGAAAATGTTGAGGCCTGCAAGGGTTTGCAGGTATAGAAGAAAAAAAATTTTCTTATTGGTTCCTATGGTGTGGCTGTGGGAGTTTACTCTGGATTGGATCTGGGTGAGGCACAGGCTGGAAGCTTTGTGATGTTTGTGAGGAGCAGAACTTTCCTTCCCCAGCCGTGGAGTTCCACCAGTTCCTCCAGCTTAGAGAGGAGTCCTCACAGACCCCTAGGACAGGGGAAGAACAGAAGCACCACAAGATCACATGGAGTATGTTATGGCAATGAATTTGGGGCTTCATTTTGGGGGTTTGGGGAGATGTTCAGTCTTCACATGCCACAGTGAATTTTCCTTAGGTTTGGGGTTGGGAATTTGCCCTGGGCTCTGTTCTGGGTGCTGGTGACGTCTCCTGTTTTCAGCTTGTTGTAGGTGCTGCACTGGACTTCACATTGTTGAGCCAGTACTGTCCATTCTTTATTTCACTCCTCAAACTTGTGTCCCTGTGGATTTGCTGCTGTGGTGAGGAGGTGCTGGTAACTTCCTTTCTGTGTGGTTTGCCCAGCCTTTGAGCAGCGCCTGTTTCTGCCTCTCGATTTGTTCTTCTTTATACAACTGACAGAGACTCACCATCAATTCCCAAACAAATATTGAGACTCATTTCCCTCCAGCATCTTCTGTGTTCCTCAGGGGCCAGGATTGTGACATCAATATTCACCATGTGTTGTTAGGTTTGCTCTTTGTTTTGGGCTTTTATTTATTTTCCTTTCAACAAAGGCTGCTATCATCCCATCGGTGGATCAAAGCCTTTGGAAAGTAACTACCTTAAAGAAAAAGAAAGTTTAACTTCTTGAACAAAGCCTTCCTGGACTTCTCCTCAAGGGAGGATTCAGTTTCTTGACTCTCTGTATCTTGATAGTAAATTCCCTTTTTCTGCAGGAGTGGGAAGAAAACAGCCTCTCAATCATTGCCAGCTTGTGTGCTCTTCTTAGTCCTGGGTCTGGAGGATGCAAATTTTTTTGGCATTTTTAGGGCTGCTTGAATAAAACAGCGTATTCTGTGTGGTTTGTAAACCTTCTGTAAACTTCCATTGGTATGAATAGCCAAAACTACTTGAGAATATTGCTGAAATAGCCCTTTTGTTACTGTCAGACTTGCATGCCTCTACTATGTTTGATTTATTAGTTTGCAATTATTTTGAAAGGGAAGAAAAGTATAGAAAATATGTTTTTCAGTATTTGTATCTTTTATTTCCTAAATAACAAACTCGCAACCAGAATTTGATAAGTAAAATATTAGCACTCAGAAATGGAACCACAAAACCAACATATCTTCTGCTATTGATTTTTCTCCTAAAAAAACTATTTTGGCAGCAAAGGCAAGTTACCATCCTGTTACTTACTTAGAGTAAATGACTCTAAATTATAAACTAACCAATAAATCAGTATTGCTAAAGTATTGTCCTCCCATTCCTCACCCCAAGGCTAAAATCTGCATCCCAAATAAGAAAAAAAATGCACCAGAAAATTGTTTTAATTTTTTTTTCTAAATAGATACAGTAGAATAGACAGTTCCTGGAATTATCAGCATATTTCAGCATGATGAAAGAGAAAGGATATATATGCAATTAAAAGGAATCATTAATGTGATGATTACAGAAGTAGAATTAAGGTGATGTCCATGCTTTTTAGATTATGCCATATCACCAATACTAGTTTTACTAAAGCATATTTTAAAGAAGAAGAGATAATATTTCTGTATGTTTTTGTCCTTGTTTTGGAGTTTAGTAGAATATTAATGGGGTTTAACCTATTTACTTTTAGGAGTGGCTTTATATTTATCAAGATATATGCCCACACATTGGCCTTAGGGAGAGAAATTTATTTGGCAGCATTCTTTAAAACATGAGATTTGATGTGAGGAAATAGATGGAGCACTGTCATTTCTTAAGTCCTGCATGAGCAGATGAGAGATTGAATCTTATTTTGGATAAATTCAGGCCTCTGTCAGATGTATGGAAGATGGGAATAATTCAAGCAGAACAGTAAGTCTCGGGTGATTTGGGAAAAAAAAAAAAGATTACTGTATCTTAAAATATTTTAGTGGACTCTAGGTGAGTATTCAGACTGAGAAAACGTAGTGAGGAAAAACTAACTGTATAAAAATACCAAATTATCATTACATTTCAAGTAAAAATATACTGGCAGAGAGAAATAGATGCCCGAAGTCCTTTTCTTTTTGGCTATTATGTAGCACACAAAGCTGAGTGTTGGCAAATAGATGCTGATAGTATTTGCTATTTCATAAGAACTCTCTTGTAGTTAGGTACAGATTTTACTAACAATATTTTACATTCTGTTCCATGACATTGTCTGTATGCTTCAGTGGGATATGAGCTTTTGTGTGAAAAAGGCTCTATGGGGGGAAAAATACTTAAAAAGAAAACTCATCTTTTGGCTTCTGTGGGAGTGTGGGTCTGTGGGTGAAAGAGTGGAGGGGAAATGCTGGAGATATTCAGACTGGCCTAGGGTGGAAGCTTGAGGGAAATATTGGGATAACTATCTGAATGCTTCTTGAAGTGAGGCTGAAGTGGACAGGTCTTGCCTAGAAACTCTTGAAATGACATTCTGTGCATTCTGTGTCTGTCCTTGGAGAGCCCAAAGAAAAGAGTTATAGCTCATGACAGACGGTGCTCAATGAAATAGCCTGTATGACCTGCCACAAGCACTGAATAAGGGTGTCTGACATGAAGGGAAATGTAGAGTCCTGTCTGTGGTGCTCTCATTAATCTGTCCTTTATTTATGGTTTCGTTCCTTCTTTCCAGTGTTGAAAACTCAGTACTGGCAATTCTAGATTTTTTTTTTTTTGTGCAACTGATTGTGAAATCATAGTGGAAACTTGGTGGGGTTTCAAGAGAAGTTCTGTGTCCCTGAGAATGATGTAGCCCTTCAGGTTTGATGATGAATGCTGGACTGAACTATTTCAGAGCTACCTGGTAAAAAGGTTCACAGTCAGCATCCTTCTTGGAAGAAACCCTCTTTGTGACTGAAGTTGGAGGTAGTGTGAGTCTGTGGGTGTCTGATAAATGTTTTTGGTGGAATAGAGCACACATATGAGGAATGAGTGGATAAAGCTGCGTTTCGG